GGACAAATTTGTATTTCTTTTTTTACTCATTTAACTCATTAACCTGTCTTAATTATATCTTTTTATCTTTCAAATTGTTTCACTTAGAATTAAAAATTGGATGATGTTAAAATCGAATTTTTTCCTCTTTTGTATTGAATAGCATTGAAATTAGCCAATATCAGTAACATTTGAAACGCTTACCTTTTAAATACATTTTACACAATAAATTCCTATTAATGTTCACAATTGATAATATATACTTGTCATTTGTTAGTTTTAGCTAATTATCCATATTTTTTTCTTCATTTCAAAAATGAGAAATTACCAATATTTCTTCTATCGCAGGCTCTTTTTTTGTATTCGTCTTTTTCGGCCTAAAAAATTTCAATCCTTTTGTCTAATTTCATTTGAATCATACTAAGCTAACTCTCAACTACATCCTATCCTTCCCATCCATATTTCTATTACTATTCGCTTCATTGATTCCAAACTTTTTTCTGACTTTTATTTCTTAATCAAGAGCTTTAATCAAACTTTTTTTTAAAACTTTTCCATTTCATTTCCGTTTTCCTCCTTATTACTTGAATTTTTCATTTTATTTTGTTTTTTTGCAGAAAGACCAAAAAGTATGTAATAGCAGAAATTTTTGTTATCTGCCAGCATGAGAAATTCGTTGAAAGAAGAATGGTGACAGATTAATTTGGACAAGTTAAGAAATATGTCCTGTGAAATGAAGCACTTTTGAAAACCTTTACTATTATTACCTTGTATGTCAAGGTATGCGTGAATGGCATACATACATACATACATACATGTTTATATTAATGTATGTGATGTATGTGTATGTATGTCCACTTAGAAATGTCACTTGAAATAATGTACTTTACCGGTAGCTATAATTGGAGTCGAGCTGGTTTTACCTGTTTCCATTTATTTATTCCATCATCAGTAAATTATCAGTAAATTCTCTATGGTATTTCTCTTCCCTCAACACTAGCATTATCATTATTATCATCATCGCCATCATCATCATCATCATCACTATCATTATCATTTATCATTATCGTCATTATCATTTATTCATCATTATCATTATCATCATTAATTGTAAACATCATTTGTGTTTTCTAGCCATTTCAATTCGTCACGAGTATTACCTCACGATATTTTCAGTTCAATCCGATTCACTTCCTAGTTTTTCAAGTGAAGAAAAGCAAAAAAAAAAAAAACGATGAAATCATCACTTCAAATGATTCATAAACTTATGTTAAAGCAGGAAACAATCTGTTCCTCCTTCATCATATGCTATTTTCTGCATTCGGAACTCATTATATACCTCTAACATGCGGCTATTTATTTATCCAAAAAAAAAGTTAAAAAATTTTTTAAACAGAACTTTGTTGTATTGACAGGTAACATCGGTGACCAATAATAGCTATTTTTTTTTTTTTTGCTCTACATGTTCTTTTTTTTTAAAATCAAATACAGTGACATTTGAATACATTTGAAGCATTGAAATTTCTTTCAAATCTAGAATGATTGTACATTTTCAACGCCATTGCATTTTACTCAATTTATTCGATTTTTAAAATTCCATTTAAGGTTAAAACTTCACCTTGAAAATTCCTTATAAGAAAAAAAAGCCATTCGTGAATTTAAAAAAGATTTTTTTTTTTGAAGCAAATATGATTGGATAAAAAATGGTAAATTTTGAAATAATTATTGGAAGAATTCACATTAAAAATCATAATTTTAGAATATCTCTTCGTTTTTAAAAAATTCAATTCTTTGAAATTTAAAAATGCACCAAGTATTCAGCTGTTGAAAAAAAAGTAAGCAGATCATTTACGATAATTTTTGAAACATTATTTCTGTTCCGTTACTTTATATTTCGTTACTTCATTTGTTTAATTCATTAAATCTCACATCTAAAACTTTTCAAATTGAAATCTTCTTTGTACCATTCTTGTTGTTTTTTTATTACACCATCCATTATTCCTCAAGTAGAATTTTATATTTTTTCTGAAAATATTGCGTGCGAAAGTTCCGCTTCATAATTAAATATGCGAATTAATTGATTTCCGCTTCCTTTTGTTCTGAAAATTTTTTTACATCTCTCAATATATGCCAATTATTTTTAACAATTCAGTCATCGAATCAAATTTACATCAATTATTGTACTCTTTCACTTATTAGTTATCAGTCAGAAAAGTAACTTATCAGAAAAATGGTTTATCGACAACGTAAAATATGGCAAAAATTTCAATGGACGAAAAAGGTTTGTTTTTTTTAAATGAAATTTCCATAAAATTTGGCAAGAAATTTCATTATAATTTCGTTTTATTCTCTTCTTACTTTTCCTCGTTGTTTACCAGAACTTCACTACAGTATGTATTTTCTTTCCAGAACTTCATTACATATAGTACAGTATATTCCTAATACAGTATGTTTTACTATGGTATATTTTTTGATACAGCATTGTTACGGCATATGCTTTTTCTAGAACTTTATTACGATACATTTTTTTGCTAGGGTTTTATCAAAGCACATACTTTTTGCTACGATTTTATTACAGTATACGTTTTTTTGCCAAAATTTATTAGGGATATGTTAATGTATTGTTCTATCTTTCCATTTAATTATCCGAATATTCTTAAACATAGCAATAAAATATATTTGAAATAGATATTTTTTATGATATCAAAATCTAACATTTCATTTTCAATCAGCGAAATACCATAACCGATGTAGAAATTGTTGCAATTAAAAAAAAAAAATCACACAAAAAAGAAATAATCAAGAGATAACGACACTACTTTTAGATTAACGAAATTTAACAATTAATCTTACATTGTCCTCTTTCTCCATCCCGTTTCCCGCTCTATTCCATTAATACCGGATGCATTAGTCTTTTTCTGATTTCAACATACACCAAATGTATTTGCATATAAAATTGCTAGAAACATTATATTCGTTTACGGGAAATATTGTTGGATAAAATTTTGTGAAAACAAAAAAAAAAAATTGGCGAATTTTTTTATTGGTTTAAAAAAAAATACATGAAAAGCATTGAAAAAGGAATAATTGAATTGCATATGTAAATAATTAGTTTTAAATTACCAGATTGGCAACTTAATTTATGAGCTTACATTTTCCATCCACAGATTTATGAGTTTAAGTTTGTTTTTCTTTTTTTGGAAGTATTTCGTTTTAGACTGCCAAAATTGTTGTATTCCATTTGAAAATTTAATTTTTCGTAAAACAATTTGCCATTCATTTATTTATATATTTTTATTCGAAAGTTGCAACACTTACTTTAATTGCAAAATTGCAATTAAAATCCCTTTTAATTCTTAAATTACGAATGAAAAATTTTTCTACTTTCCTTTTTCTTCATTTTTCTTTTGACATTTCCAGACAAATTAATTTGCCAGTGCATAAATAGCTAATTTATCTATAAGTAAATTTGTCCTTTTTCATGCTGCAATTATTCACCCATAGCGAATTTAAAAAAAAAGAAAAAGACAAAGATTTCTGTAAAGTGTTTGTCATTTTTGTGGCGACGAAATTCAGGCGATTTGTTTGCTAATGTTATAGATCAGTCGCTCATGTTGACAAGAATAGAATAGTAATACAAATGACATTATTTGAAAATTTAAACCCCAATGCTCCATTCCGATTTCGGATAAGGCTCGATTTGGATCGAATACAGTGAAAAGATTGATAGCATATTGTAATGAGCTGAAGCTATATTTTCCTAATTTATTTGAAATTTTTGAAAATATCTTGTAATTTGTTGACATTTGACACTTTTCAACATTTGCACCATGAAAATGAATAATTGATCAAATTAAGCGGCGATGAAGTTCTACCAGGGTGTTAGTCAATCCATTTGCAAAGTTATTTTAGTTAATAGTAAGTTTTCCTCTGTAATATTAAAAGTTTTTTTTTGTTTACCCAAATGTGACTTCTTATCGGCAGATCACTAATGGTTTTTTTATTTGCCTGTTCTTTTTTCCTTGGTGTATCACTAAGTGCTGAAAGTTTCTTTATTTACTTATTTACTTGATTACTTAATCACTTATAATTCATCGCTTACATTTTCTTTTCTTACTAATCCATTTAATAAAAAGTGGCCCTACATTTTCATTATTAAAGCATACAATATGGAAAGGATGACAAACGCAAACATTGTAAATAACTTTAAATTTATTGATAATTATCTGTTGCTATTTATCAAATGATAATACTTATATTCTATTGATTATTATTTCTTAAACACTGCTTATCAAATGATAATGCAAAAGTTTTTTTCCATCTTATATCCCATTGACAATAATTTGCTGAATATTCTTTATCAAATGACAATACAAAAATTTGTATCAAACCTTCCTTTAAATACTTTCTTTTTGTGAATTAAATTCGTCTAACATGGAAAATTTTAGCTTTCCTTAAAATGTTTCTCTTTAAATTTATCTAACAGAAAAGGATTTCTCTAATCTCTTTTAAAATGTTTTGTTTTTGTTTGTTTAATTCACTTGTTTACTAACATTTTTCTTTTTAATACATTGAAAATACCCATTTCAAATGAAATAATTTGACATATTCTTTGTTCTTTTTTTCCGCTTATTTATTCATTTTTTCATTCATTGAAATTACTGGTAAACAAATCAATTCAAAGCAATTGCATTTTAATGTGAACAAAAATAAATATGGAAAAGATATAAAGTTGTCGCAACATCTTTTTTTTTCTCCCCAAACGATTCATTCGCCTAAAATATTAATTTTTAAAATAACTCCCAAATGTGTCATGAAATAGTCTGTCTTCTTTCATTTTTAAATAAATGAGTGGGAGAGAAATTGTCCCAAAAGGAAAGCGAAACGGGAGAAAAAATACAAAGAAATGGATAAAATAAAATGTAGAAATTTTAAAAAGTAACAAATAAAAGAGTGAAAGATACATTTAACAATTTTACATTTTTTATTTTTCAAATAAATTTTTTTTTTTGCTTTTTCAGAGATTACGAACCGAAAATCGCTTGCTAAGACAACGAATTGATTATTTGGAACAAGAAAGTGCAGCATTAGCTGACCGTTTAATAAAAGGTCAGGTAAATTTAGCGCAAGAAGCGGAAAATTGCATGAGCATTTCACATGAACTGCTGAAACTTCGCGATATTAATTCAGACGCTCATCGGCGATTGGAAGAAGCATACGATACTATTCGTGATTTAAGTTGCAAAGTTTGTTTCGTCATTCTTTCCTATTTTTATTCATTTCAGAGGAAAATTATGCAAAATTTATAAATTTATTATTTAAGAAATGGTATAAATGCAATCAAATGAACATTTTAAATTATGTCTAAAAATTAAGACTAAGAAATTCTTACAATTTTAAAATTTGAAAACGACAAAGATAATGAAAGTCTTTTTTTCCAGTCAGTGCTCTATATTTATTTTATGAGATTTCAACCTGAACTTTTTTTAGTTGTTATAAAATGGTTTGTTCCTTTTATAAAAATAAAACTATTGATTTCTCTCTCTTTTTTCCTTTTTTTGATGACGAGATAAATGAAACAAAGACAAAGTCGTCAAATTCCCAAAAATATAAATGACCGGGGAAATAGATTATTTGAGGGCTTAGAACAGTCTTTCCTTCTTTTTTATTTCCTTTCTGACATATATGATTTATCATTTTTCTTGTATCATTTATCGTTCTTTACCAGAAATGATTCAGCTGTCATAGCAATATTAGGACAGATATTACAATGGATTACATTATATATGTATAAATACATACATGAAGTAGTTAATTAATCAAATTATATGCCGGCTTATTTTTAATGATATTATTTTTGAATTTTCCTTAGAAATATTTCACAAGAATACCAATCATAACAAGATAGTGTTAATAGCGATAATGAATAATAATAATAATGATAATAATAACAATCAGTAAAAATAATTATTATTGTGACCATAACTGCAATGGTTTTTCAAATGTTTGGTTATATAAAATTGCAAGAACCCTATGCGGTATATTCGTTGTATTACAATGACGATGTAAGTAGATAATGATGATAATTATGCAGTAGTAGTAGTAATAGCAGTTGTGACAAATGCGAAGAATGGACATGCATTAAATGATGGTCATTGTCATTGGAAGTGTTAGCTTATATTTTGGATGAAAGATCAAATGGATGATAAAGGACAATTTTAAAAATTTAAATTTAAAGGCTCATTTAAAAAGCTTATTTAGCATCAGTAAACAATTATTCATATGTTATTTCTTTTCTTCTTTTTTGTTTCTTTTCTTTTTAGAAACATTTCAATCTGATTGCCGGAAATTTATTACCAAATGATTTGAAAAATGTTGAATTTGTTAAATTTAAAAATTTTCTTTTAAATGGGCACAAAGTTATTCAATTAATGTTGGATTTTTTAGAAGAATGAAGAATTAACAGAGTGTGCTACGCAAGTGGATGATACATCAATGATTGAGCATATTCATGCATTACAACAAGAGATCATTGACACGCGCGCACGTGAAGCAGATAATGAGATTATTATCAAAGATTTGAAACTTCGAATTCAGGTGATGAAATTTCATAGCGTCATGAAAACATAGAACGGAAATGATCAGTTCGAAAATAATTTTATTCTCATTAATTATTATTTATATCATATCTACAACAATTATGTAATGTTTTCTTTAGGAGCTAGAGTTAGCAAATAAAAGGTTACGTGAACGTCCACCGGATGATGGCGTCGCCGGTTTACAGGAAGAATTAATCTCGGTAAAAATGCGTGAAGCTGAAGCTTCTTTATCTCTTAAAGAAATGAGACAACGACTTGTCGAATTAGAACAACATTGGACGGTAGATTTTTTTTCTTTCAACAATAATTATTATACGTTATTATACATGTGAAATATTTAAGGATAGACTATTAATTTGTGAGCGTTGTATAATTTTTTTGTAGAATACTCACGTGCGTGTTTTGTAAGAAATATTAACTAATCTGGATAAGTTAACTTGCAGAAATGATTTTTAGAAATATGTCAGTAATCGTGTATTAGAAAGTAATACGTCAAAAACGTGTTTGGAACGAGGTGCAACACTTTCGAATTTTAACTTACAGCTACATAATACTGCAGCTGGCGATTCGCAAGGTATACCTTTTTACCAATAATTTTACATGTTATGTTTTACGCTATCGAATAATACGCCTTCACATAAAAAAATTACGTTTGATGCAAAGGTGTTTACTAATATAATATATTTTAATGAAGTATTAATGCAAATTTTTCTATCTTATTGCAGTTTCTTTTCTTTTTCAAAAAAATCTATTTAATAAATATGAAAGAAAAATGAAATAATGTATTATTGTTAAAGTTAATTTAATAGCTTTAAGCTTTATATTTAAAGGTATTAAATGAATACCATTAAATTGACTTTAAAAATAATAGCTTTAGATTTAGGTGTCACATCAAATGACAAAGTGTCACAACAACAACAACAACAACAACAACATCAACAACAACAACAACATCAACAACAACAACAACAACAACAGCAGCAGCAACAACAACAACAACAACAACAACAACAACTTTCAACGATAGTACCACAAAGTGCTCGACAACGTTTAGCCAAGTTAACAGCAACTTTAATTGGTACAATCAACGCAGAATCATCAGATCCTGCTAGTGCTTCAGATTCTTACGGTAAGATATATTTAATAAAAAAAAGAACTAATCAATATTGTCATATTAATGCATTAATTTCATTTATGCACTATTCTCTGTATCATTGATATGATATGATATTGATGAATTTATTGCCACAAATTCCTTGCAGGCTATGTGACGATAAAAGAACTTGAAGATCAATTAATGGGTGTAAGAATTCGAGAGGCGGATACTGTTGCTGAATTAAAAGAAATGCGCCAAAAAGTGATGGAGTTAGAGACACAAGTTAGTATCTTGATTACACTTATAATTTGTTGTGAATTTTTCAACATTGAATACAGAAATTAAATGAAATTAAACCAACATCAATTAATCAGTTTTGTTTGTTAATAGCTATGAGAATTAGACATATTCATTAATTACTATGCCTCATATAAACTTGCATCCAACTACTTTGGTTAAACTGTTAGTAATTAACTGATCTTTACTTCTCTATTCATTAATCATTCATTC